TTTAAAAGTGCTTTTCTTTGCTGGGAAGGTTAGAGAGTAAGTGAAATACTGCTTTCTAAAAGAAGTTGTGTTGACACCTCTTTGCGTTAGTTGTTGCCCACGCGTTGTGATACGTACCTTCGCATTTTTTATCTTCTTCACTCACACATCCGACAAATAAATAATCTGATTCCCCTGGGACAAAGCCCGTCCCAAAGATGAAAAACACTGGTGATTTTACATGGGGAAATAAGGCCAGATTTCTGTGAAATTGGGCTTGTAACCTCTCCATGTTCAAATACAATGAATCAACCAGTTGACATCTTCCTAACCTGCGCTGAGAATTTAGATGTAGGGTTGGGAACCCAGGGGCTCCCCAGACAGGTCAGTCACGGATTTTGTAACAATCTTATTACTTCATTCCTGACGGAAAACTGAATACAGCAAAATGTATCCTCCAGACAGTGAAATTACCAGAATAAATCAGACTAATGCTCTACAAAGTCCAGCAACTGATGTCAGACGGTGGTCAGTACTGAGCTGTGCTGAGGCAGGATCTAGAAAACCCTGTTGTAGGAAATTCAAAGACTTTTTGGTCCCAAATAATCACCTGTTATCTAACTGTTAGCTAATGCTGTGAGGAAGCATTATTTCCATTACATGGCATCTTTCTCTCTGCCCAGCCACCAAGTATGTAGAAGACTTGTAAAGAGGAAGGGAAAGATTTCCTTTCCACATCCATGATGAGTACAACAACAATAGTGGGTTTAAATGAAAATAGTGGGCTTAACTGGGCTAGGCTTTAGGAAAAACTCTCTAAAAGATGGTAAATATTTTAGAGAGTCCATTGGAATGGACTCCTTGAGGAAACTGGAGGATCTCCATCTCCGAGGATCTTTCAGGAACAGTTAAATGTTTGCTGGGAGTAAGGCAGCTCTCATTCGTTGTATCATGATGAAAGAAGTTGGACTCGATGACTTACTACAGATCTACCAGCTCTAGTTTTATAGTTCTGTGATTTCCTTTTAGTGGTTTTATTTATTAGTATGATGAGAGAACATGTATTTATCTGGTAATCTTAAATGCTAACCCTTCATTCTTACAGTTGATCCTACTGTCAAGTCTGGCCGATAGCAATGTGATTCTATCTACGTCCAGTACTTTACAAGTATACTATGCAACAGTAGTCTGACACCAATTAAAGTGCTTATTAGGTTATCATGGACTTCAGTGAGCACAAGTTATGTCCCCACTGAGATGAGAATTGGCTCCAAAATGTTGGTGCTTACCAGTTTCCTTAGAAAAGGAAAATTCATGGCAAATCATGTTAAAAAGAAATTTCCTCTGTCAGAAATCTTTCAGGTGTTTCAAATTCAGTTAGGGGATATAAGAAAGAAATTAAAGTCTAATTTAAAATTCCCACCCACATTCCTTCTTCTTTTCCTGCAAAGTGATTATTGCTCCTGGTCTACGTATTGGCAAATCTCTCAGAAATGAGCTATAATTTGCCTTAAAAATACCTTTCTGGTCATGATGGAAGTGTTCTTTTTGAAGAATGGGTTTGCAGTGACTCTGTGAAAAGAGCCCAAATGCTCTTATTTCTCAATGACATCACTGGGGCTACAATTTCAACCAGAAATTCTTCATGGCATAAGGAAATTTGGGGTGGATAGCACATTTCAAAGCTGAGGCACCTGCCAGGTGAAGTTCTTGGACACTGCCAGGCAGCTTGCCAGGCTTGATCAAAGTGTGCTCTGCTGCCTTTCACATTTGCTTTCCACTTTTGTTGATGGCACCACATCCCTGCCTGGCGTGGTTAATAAAGAGGAGAGAACAAATGTGTGGCAATAGCAAATTAAACAAATGAGCCATTAAAACAGGAGGGTGCACTACCTCTTCTCACCAACGCCTACTTTGGTGCCCGCAATGTCTCCTAGCAAAATAACATGAGAGCAAGGATAAAGGGCTTTCAGGGATGTGCTGTAGCTGTGGTCCAAGCGCTGAGAGATGTCCGTGGCTCCTGCTGAGAGAAAACCTAACGTCATTCATCAGCAGAGAAGCCAGCAAACCGCTAATGGCTTTCCATCATGTTTCTTGACAGGTATTGACGGAGGCCGGTTTTGGTCCCATCACAACAGAAATCCGGGAGACTCCAGAGTTTTATTACGCCGAAGATTACCATCAGCAGTACCTCAGTAAGAACCCTGGTGGATACTGCGGTCTCGGGGGAACGGGGCTTTCCTGCCCTGTTGGGATCAAGAAATAGCCTGTGCTTACTCCACCGCCTCCACTTTGGTTTAGGGAGTTGTTTGAAAAAAGACCGGCAAGCCTGATCGGTGTTATGGTATACCCACAGCATCAGTGCATGAAGATTTGGGAACCTGTTAGGGCAGCTTTCCGTAATCTGAGCAGTTTCCCATTCACCGACATTAAAAGCCAAAGTAGAGGCAGAAATTGTGTCTGTTGGCAAACGCAGCTTCTTGCTCTGTGCTGCTCACGGGGCATCCTTGCAGTCTTGTAATCTGGAGAGAAAAGAAACTTCTAAAAGTTTGGCTTGAAATGCTGTTAAAAGGATGAATTAGGGGGTGGTTGCACCTGCTTACTGCTTTGCATAGCTAATACCTTCAGCTGTTTATTTTCTTGGGTTAATGAATTCGCTCGTGTTTATGAGAGCTTTGACTTCTGGAGACATGGTTGGGCTCATCTTAACTATCACAACCCTGTAATTTGATGTCTTTGAGAATGGTGATCAGTAACTCGCTCACAATTCTGCTTTCACAGCAACATGTAATACCACCTATAGTGCCTATTTTCTGAAACAATTTTAGTAAGAAAAAGTAAAAATTGTAATGTGATACTTCTTTTTGACAGTTCCAAAAAGTGTATAAACACAAAAATAAATCATTTTTGTTTCCTACATGACAATAAATTACAAAAAAAAAGAAAAACATTGTCTGTGATGTGTTCCATGCTTCTAAGTATATATTGGGGTAGATCTAAAAAAAGTATCAAATATTATAAAAGGCTGCAGCCTGCTAATTAAACACCAGGGCTTTTAAATCTGTATGATCGTGCATGACAGTACAGAGGAGTAGAATTCATATTGGCTGCACTGTAACATAATTATTCCTATGGTTAATTATTTGTACTTCAGTAGCTTGCGGAGCCCCCACCAAGACCAGAACTCATTACGGCAGGTGCTGCGCAAACATAATGTCGGGCAGTCTCTGCCCCAGTGCGTGTACAGTCAAAATAGCAGGACAGCCAGAAGGAGGCAAAATAAATTTTCATTTTATTGATGGGGTTCTCAGAGTGGAGACTAAAAGCTACAGCCAAAGGACATACGGGATGCAGGGGTTATCTTATATGGATATGGGATCCTATGGGTTATATATGCTATGGAGTATCCTAGGACAAACAGCTTCAGTAGGAGAGATGGAGATGGGTTTGTCCCACCCATCCAACTTGCTGCTTGCAATACTTCCCGGAGCACGGGAGGTGTGGGCTTGAGCCTTCCTATTTTGGAGGCTCTTAATCACTAAGTTTGAAGAACATGTGTCATTGGTGTGTCTTCTTGCAGATGTGCTTTCTTCAGGGAAAGCTTGTGGGAGCCCAGCCCATGTGTCAATTCTGGGCAGCAGAGGACATAAAGCCATTTTTGAGGGCCAGATGGTGGGGACCCAGAGATACAAATCCGCAGCATTTCCTTTTGGATAGCTCTCCATGGCACTCCTCTCATCTTGGCTTGATGTTTCCTGCTCACCAGCTCAGGTTTTAGGCTCAAAAAGGCCCAAAACAGCTCCATGAACATCTCCTGTAACTACCTAGCAGTCCAGGTCCTGTTCCAAGTTTGGAGTGACTGAAAATGTGCATCAGATGGTCAGTCTTTGGGCTTCTACATCCACTGCTGAAGTCCTGCCTGCTTTATCCAAAGACAGGCAGTAAGTCCGTGCCAGAGAAATTATCTCCCCATCTTCCCTTGCTCCTCAGCTGATGCTTAGTTCAGTCCAGTCTCAAAAGCCAGAGGAAGCCTGTCCTTTTAGCAGGTTTATACCTGGGGCAAGCTTGAGAGGAGCTACCTCTGGCAGGATTGCCATGTTAGGCTCTTTCTGGCGATGCCCCAAAACGTGCCCACATCACACCCAGGATTTCCAGTTGCTGTGGTAACTGATCGCCTGTCCTTAAGGTGTTGTGCCACTGAATTGTTCTAGTGCTCACTGTCAAGGAAACCAGAACTTTCGTCTAATTGCCTAAGTATGAGGTGACATAAAAGCAAAGGAGAGAGGAAAATAAAGTCTTACTTTCATCCTATGCATTTTTAACCTCTGCGTAATTCAGACTTCAGTGGGATAACTCCTGATTTGCTCCAATGTACAAGGCAAAACATTTCGTACGCTGAATCATTCGGGTGCTCATAAAACATTGCTTGGTTCCCTTCTGTCCTTTCCCCTCCCTCCCCTCCCACTCTGTGCTATAGTTACTGTTTTGAAACAAGCTGGAAAGTCTTTGGAGAAAGCACCGTTCTGTCCTTAATATAGCCGGGCTCAAGTCTGAACCTGGTTGAGTTTTTTTGAAGTCCTGTCCTGATGGAAATAATGTGTCGGTTTAGAAATCAGCATGGATGGGTCCATTGATGCTAAAATTGTCCCACACCAAAATATTATGCCACCACAGAATTAATTATGGAGTTACTGTAGGGTGGCGTTTTGGCCTTGACCCCTTGCAGTCCCTGCTGGTGAAGGTACAAGGAGTATCAGGGATATAATCAGTAAAGGTGAAATGCTAATGATTCACCTCGTGGATTAGTTTTTTTAAGCTGGATTTGGTCTTGTAAGCCACTCTTGCCCACAGGGGAGAAGGGAGTGGCTGCCTCAACATCTCTGATACTATAATTTTGATTTGGCACTGTTTGAAATTCACCCTACCACAGAGCTGCCTCTTTCTTCTGAGAACACAGGCATGGTCTAAATGGAGAAAATTAATTCAGAGTTTGATAGTTTCAGGTCTTCTCAGAGTCGAAGATGAATGCTGATGCAGGACCAGCATCTAAGGTCTTCGGAGAGAAGAACATGGTTCAAGATCCAAAAAAGGGCTACAGCACGCAACTCATGAAGTCCACTATTGCAATGCCCTGCAAAAGTCAGTCCGGGATATAGACAGGAATTTCATTGCTGCCCTATCCCTATCATAGCTAAAGCAAATCCCAAGCCTCCTGGAAATCACTGAACTTTCCCTCATCGCCTTAGGAAGGAGAGCATCCAACTGCCATGTCAGCAGAAACAAATGGATTGTGTGATGTCACATTCTGGTTGCCATTGGTGAGAACATGGAATGGGAAAGATGTCCTGAGGTGTCTGCAGAAGCATCACTGCTCTGAATGCTGTCGAAGGGTGTTGATCCAGGACTGGGATTGAAATGCTGCTCCTTACCCGTTTTTGTTTAACGTTGCTCATCAGCAGCATCAATGCAGGCTTTTCGTCTAAAATTTTTATGTTCAGCGATGACCAGCAGAGCGAAACTGCTAGTGGCCTGGCAGGATATACACGTATCGGTAAATGAAATAGGCTTGGGCTCATTCCTTGTACCTGATGGCATATACGTATGGCTTGTACTGCAGCCTGATACTGAACCCTTCCACGCGTGCTCCCTAAACCAGGATTTTATCCAGCCTGCCTATGGGAAATGGTCTATGGCCCTTCTAGCCCCCAAACTGCCTGGGCATTGCTTGGCAGAGTGCAGGTTTGGGGAGGCTTTGGGGGCTTTGGTGGAGATGAGGTAGCATGGATAATTATAGACCAGTGCTTTAGCTGATGTCCTGCCCCTCTAGTTTAGTAGCACAGGCAGTGGCACTGCTGTACATGAGCAACGTGTCTCATTTTGTAAGCAGAGTGTGGCCTCCGACCATCTTATGAGTCCTTTCTGGAGACCGGCAAGAAGATCACAGCGGGGAGATATGCCAAGGCTGGGGAGTTCCCGTGGCATGTGAGCATCCAGAGCAACGGGAAACATATCTGCGGAGGCACCATGATCAGCGCATTGTGGATTTTAACTGCGGCCCATTGCTTTGCAGAAGAGGTGTGAGTACTCGGGGGAAGCGAGGACAGCCCAGGCACAATGGGGTCATAACATCGCTCCTTGTGGGTTGTTGTGGTTTAACCTGGCAGGCAGCCAAACACCACACAGCTGCTCGCTCACTCCCCTCCCCACAGTGGGGTGGGGGAGAGAATTGGAAAAAGAAAAGTAAAATTCGTGGATTGAGATAAAGATGGTTTAATAGAACAGAAAAAGAAGGGGAAAAAAATAATAATAGTAATAGTAGTAGTAGTAGTAATAATAATAATGATGATGATGATGATGATGATAGAATATACAAAATGAGTGATGCACAATGCAATTGCTCACCACCTGCTGACCGATACCCAAAAAACCCCAATTGCTACTTCCTGGATCACGCCCTCTATTTACATACTGAGGATGACATCATAGAGTATGGAATACCCCATTGGCCAGTTTGGGTCCCAGCTATGTTCCCTCCCAACTTCTTGTGCACCTGGCAGAGCATGGGAAGCTGAAAAGTCCTTGACTATGTAAGCACTGCTTAGCAACAACTGAAACATCAGTGTGTTATCAACATTATTCTCATCCTAAATCCAAAACACAGCACTAGGAAGAAATTTAACTGTATCCCAGCTGAAACCAGGACATAGGTATAGGATATGTATGTCCTTGGGGTCAAGTGCAACATATATGTGACTGAGCCAGAAAGCAAGCCCTCAAAACAGGAATTGTCTACTTTGGGGAAAACAGGCCCATTTTTGATCAGAGGTAGTGTTACAACAGAAAGGTGCAGAAATCTGCATAACCAGGAGATGCAGAAGAGGAATATTTTGAAGGATGGTCTGAGCAGCCTTGTGATCCTGTTCTGATGGCCCCAAACATTTCCTGTACGTCTACACGTGTTGTGGTACCTTATAAAAAGAGGTGTATTCTATTCCAGCTTATTCTAACCCACAAATTACCTTTGCTTTCATATAGCAAACACCTTTATCTCAGGGACAGTCTGATTTTAAAACAGCTGTTTCTGGATAAATCAACCCCATGCAATGCCCAGGGGCAGAGTCCAGCCCTCTGTGAGCCCCTTCCAAAATTCGGCAGGTCCGAGAGCGGAGACTGCTCAGTGACAAATGACCTGTGGGATCACAACCTGGAGCAGCTGGCTGGGGGCAGTGCGGTCCAGAGCAGCCAGCCCAGGTCACGGCGATCCCGAAGATCCAGCCCACTCCATCTGCTTGTTAACGACTGGACTATTTATAACTTGGTTGCCTTCATGTTCTACCTCTGCACCTCTCACCCCTGAAAATTAGCTTTGCCTAGAAGTGAGGGTAGATTTCCATGATATTTATAGCTAACCTGCCTCTGCAATTTGCTGAGCACCACCCTACCCTGCTCAGGAGGAGGAGGCACCAACCTTTATAATACAAAGCCTTCATGTTTGCTTATGTCTACACTGCTGCTGTTTTGTTTATAAGGCCACCAGATCTCACTGTTGTAGTGGGAGGAGTTGACCTCAGCCTCCCGCTGGAAGAACATGAGCCGGACAGCTTGATCCTCCATGAAAACTTTGACAGAATGAGCATGGAAAATGATATCGCTCTGATCCTGCTCAGCTCTCCCATCGAGTTCAACAATGAGAAAATCCCCATCTGCTTGCCCTTCATTGATGACACCAATACGTGGCAGCACTGCTGGGTTGCTGGGTGGGGAACCACAAGTGCAGGTGAGGTGCTGTCAGGAGATGTATTTGCTAACGGAGGCTGGTTTTTATCCATTTAAAGTAGATGTTCTCTCCCAGGAGGGGTTACCCACACTAACTTCCACTACGCACCTCCCTGGTAAACACATCCAGACCCTCGCAGCCTCTGCACATCCACCAGTTCTCTGTTCAGTGCAAGAACCAGTCACCGACTGACCCCCAGAGTGAAGTCCCTGGTCCTCTGAGCACATACGTTCAAGCTGAAACCACCTTTGCTCTGCAGGAACTCAACCTCTTGCTTGCCTTTTTTAGTACCCAAGGTAAGACAAGCTCCAGCCTGATGGGCAAGTTAGGCTGTGTCTAAAGTGGTCTGGAATAAGGGAAATCATAGAATCATAGAATCACAG